TTCCACATGTTTATGGTGTTTTTGTAGTTTCTTTTGTCATTGATTTCAAATATTATTATACTAGTCCAATAATATCCATGGGGTAATTTCTATTCCTTTGCATTTACTCAAGTAATTCTATAGGCCAGTATGTGGTCTGTTTTGGAAATGATCTTATTGTCTCTTTTGATCTTGGCTTGAAGTACACTCTGCAACAAAGGCAAGTTAGGGGGCACCATAGTCCCCTGCTTTAAAATTATACTACAAAGCTAGTGTGATAAACACAGCATGGAATTGGCTACAAAACAAAAACCTGAGGATCAGTAAAACAGATTAGAAGATGAAGAAACAAATCCAAACACACCCAACCACCTTATCTTTGATAAAGGGTCCAAATACATTTATTGAAAGAAAGACAGCCTCTTCAGTAAATGATGCGGGAAAAACTGGCCTTCTACATGCTGAAGACTAAAACTAGACCCATGTATATCATCATGCACTAAACTAAATCAAAATAGGTCAAAGATCTAAATATTAAAACAGAAAAACTAAATCTTCTGGAAGGTAAAATATTCTTGAAGATCATTGCACACTTATTAATGGAAATCTCCAGTCATAAATATGTATGCACCACTACAGGTGCATTTAGCTCTATAAAACAAATATTAATGGATGTAAAAAATCAAATCAGCACTAATAGTTACAATGAAGGACCTTAGTACCCTCACTGTTACAAATAAATAGATCAACCAGACAAAAATATTTAATAAAATATCAGAAATGAACAAAACCTGTGAACAAAAGGATTTAGTAGATGTCTACATAGTGTTTCATCTCACATCAGAATATACATTCTTTTCAGCTCTGCATGGAATGTTTTCCAAAACAGAACACAGTCTTTGTGATAAAAGCCTAAACAGCATGAGAAATACTACAAAAGATTGACAACTGGTATATCTCATTTTATAAAAAAGAAAAAAAAAAACTTTTGCAAAGTGAAAGAAATCACCAACAGAGTGAAAAGACATCCTACAGAGTAGGAAAAATTTAACCAATTGTTTCTCAGACAAAGGACTAACATCTAAAACATACAAAAAGATTTTAAAAAGTCAGGCTACTCTCAGTTTAAAGACTCAAACCAAAAATGGCCATTTGAGAAACATAGACACTTCTCAGGTGAAGAAGTAGGACAGGCAAATAAATATATGAAAATGTCCAGCATCACTGGTCATTTGAGAGATATAAATTAAAACAATACTGAGATTCCATTGTATTCCTGAAAGAATGGCTGTTATCAAGAAATCAATAACAAATGCTGAAGGGGCGGTAGGGAAAAAGGAACCCGTCTCCACTGTTGTGAGGAATGTAGACTGGTACAACCACTATGGAAATTAGTGTGGAGATTCCTCAAAAAACTAGGATTGAGGTCCCATTTGATCCAGCTATTTTCCTTCTGGGTATCTTCCCAGAAGAATTAAGAACATCATACTACAGCAATATAGGTACATCCATGTTTATAGCAGCACAGTCTGTAACAGCTAAATTTTGGAAAAAATCCAAATGCCCATCGATTGATGAATGGATAAAAAGATGTGGTTTTTAAAAATACAATGGAGTACTACACAGACATAAATAAGGATAAATTTGAGACATTTCTAACTAAATGGATGGACCTTGAGACTACATTCTTAACTATGATGAAATGAGTCAGACAAACATATAAATATCACATTGTCTCCCTGGTGTTAAGAAACTGAAAATGTAGATAAGAACCAACATGTTTAAGATGTATTGTGAGATAGGAAAAAATTCTTCAGAAGGAAGGGAGAAGTGAGGAGGGGGAGGAAGGAAAAAAGGATGAAGGATACAGAAAAAATGAGAAATAAAATAAAATAAAATCATTTCTCTGTTAGTTCTTTCTCTAGCATGCCACATTGTACAATATCTAAATTCTATAAATTCTAAAGTATATGTGAGTTGAGATGTGATAGGTTGGGGTCATTTCTGTCTCTTGTATCCTCAGATTTTGAGTAAGGCTTTTGTCACTGTAGTTTACAAGTTGCTCCTCATCTGTGGAATACAAAGATGGTCCTTCGCAGGTATGGAAACCTCATTACGCACACATCATGATCAATCTTGGAATTTCAGCGAGTAATCATGCCACATTGGACCTTTCAGGGGAGAACTGTCACTCAGTATGGTTGATCGCAGGCACTCTAATACTGATCTAAGCAAAAAAAAATCTGATATTTAAAATAGAAGTTAGAACTGGAGATTTTTATGTGCAATCGCTTGAGTTTTAGTTGTTGGTAAAAGATTCACAATAAAGACAAACAGACAAGGAATATTTTTACATTTTCTGAGAGCCTCTTAAATTTCTTTTTTTCCAAGCATTGTAAATTTCAGTGTATAAATCTTTTGTTTCCTTTGTCAGATTGATTCCTAAGTATTTCATTTTTTTGGATGTTATTGTGAAGGGTGTAGTTCCCCCAATTTCTCACTCAATGAATTTATTGTTTGCTATCATCAAAATATCATCCAATAACAAATGCCAGTGGGGATGTGGGGAAAATGGAAACTTTCCCCACTGTTGATGGGAGTGTAGAGTGATGCAACCACTGTGGAAATCAGTGTGGTGATTACTAAAAAGAAAACCCAGATTAGACGTCCCATTCAACCCAGTTATTCCCCTTATAAATATTTCCCAGAAGAATTAAAAACATCATACCACAGCAATGTATGTGCACCCATAGTTATAGCAACACAATCTGCAATAGCTAAATCTTGGAAACAACTCAAATGCCCATCAATGGAGGACTGAATAAAAAAGATGTGTTATTTTTATACAATAGAGTACTACTCTACTGTAAAGAAAGATAAACTCGAGACTTTTATGGATTAATGGATGTAACTAGAGACCATATACAAAAGTGAAATCAATCAGACTTGCATATGTAAACATCATATTTTCTCCCTAGTGTAAGAAACTGAAAGAGTAGACTCCAAAAGCTACGATAGATACTGTGAAAGGGGAATTAAAAAAAAAAAAAACTGCTCCAAGGAAAGAACAACTGGAATGAAGAAAGGAGAAAAGGAAAGAGGAGAATATATATATATATATATATATATATATATATATATATAATTTTATTCTGAAATAAGCACAATTATTTGCTAATGGAATATGTGTGTATCTTATTTTTCATTTTTTATTTTATTTTAAAGGTAATAAACTCCAACAAAACAAAACAGAATAAATCTGATCAAAACAAAGCAGCGTGATTGGTACAGAATTTCAAAGCAGGATAATAAGAAAACAAGAATGTGGGGTTGGGGGTTTAGCTCAGCGGCATAAGCGCCTGCCTTGAAAGCAGGCAGTCATGAGTTCGATGCCTGGTACCGATAAAAAAAGGAAAAAGACAAAAAAAAAAAAAAAAAAAAAAAACAAGAATGGCTACCTAGTGTATCTTGTTATCCCTGCAATAGTTGTACATTCCATTAGATATAGCAAAATCAAACCAAAACAAAACAAAACAGAATAAAACCAACCAAAACAGATCACTGAGTAAAGCAAAGCAATTAATCAGAACAAAACAAAACAGTGAGAACAATATTGGATTTCAAAAACAAGATGGAAGGAAATCCTGCATATTTGCTATACACATGTAGTTATTCTCCTTATAAACGCTCAGAGTGCTGACCCCAGGTCTGCAAAGTCAACCGAACAATATAAGCATTCAGTTGCTTTTCATACCTCAGTTGCTGTCAACTCAGCCTGGCCTCAGAACCAGCTATTTTATGGGCAGTGGGGTAGCTGAGACTTGATGATTCCCAGCCCGTGAGCCACTAGGCTTTTAGGAGGTACTATCTGACTTTTCTCCTTTGGGCCCTGCATGGCTGATATAGCCTAGCAGAAAGGCTGGCTCTGTAGTTTAGATACTATATAAATTCTCAAACCATGATCATATCTGCATTTCTTGTTACATGATGATTTTTGTGGTATACTTGCTTTTAATCACAAGAACAGGTGAAAATTAAGCTTTTCAAAGGTATGATATAATCAAAAGCGTGGAAAACAGTTAAAGTTTGAAACTGTGAACTACTTTTAACTAGTTTGTGTGGTGTCTGACAGATGTCAGCTATTACTGTGTTCCTTGAAAATTAAAAATATCTGACAACAACTATGTGATAGCACTTTGCTCTCTGAGCCATCTCAGCTAATGGAAACAGGGTAAAAAGGTAACTGTCTGGGTCATAGTCCTAGGTCAGCTAACCAGCTTTATCATGTTGGCAAGTCATTTAAGCATAGTCCATGCACCACAGTTTCCTTGTCGGAGAATGTTTGGATTTGTTAATCTCTTATGGTTTCTTCTAGCTCTCAATGTCTATGATTGAAGAAGTTCTGATTCTATCTGTGCTGCTAAGGCAGCCTGGAAAGAATTTACTATCTTAAACAGCAAACAGTCATTTTTCTGGAACCTTGTTTTGAGAGTTAGGATGAAATTGGTTTTGAATTCAGCCATCTTCCTCTACCATCTCACTGTCAATTCTGTTAGCCCCGCAAGCTCAGAATTCTTTTACAGGAACTATGTAAAGAATTCCATGCATGCTTACTGTCAAGCCTGGAATGGAGAGGAAAGAAATAAGTTTTTATTTTCTTACGCTTTAAAACAATGTATATGCACAGTCTTGCTTGCTACAACACAAAATCACTCTCCCTCTTTTCCTTTGTAAGTCTACTAGTTTGGGCTAGATTGAAACATGAAATCTTTCCAGTCAATGTCTGTAAAATCACACAGAGCCTGAATAGAGTGAAGGCTGATTTGTTCATTACTTTTGAGCTGAAAAGATGAATGAATGTTTTTTGGAACTTGGAGCAGGTCAGATGAAAAGAAGCCTTATGCAGCAATTTTATATTCACTATTCAAGTGGAAAACACAGAAAATTACTTTATTACATTATTTATAAATTATCCACATTTGAATTATATTTTCATTTGTGAAATCTTCTTTTTTTTTCAGCTCCCCACATCCCTTCTGTTTCTTTCTTTCTGTAAGATTTTGCTATGTTGTCCAAGCTAGTCTTGGATTCTGGCTGAAACCATCTTCTTGCCTCAGCCTACTGAGTGTCTGGGGCTACAGACACGTTGCTCTGCCTGGTAAGTTCTCTTTTAAAAGCATCTTTCTGTCTTTAGGTTATAAAGTTACTTATTTATATTTCCTTATAGTAATTTTACATTTTTATTTTTCATAGGGAGGCTTTTATTTCCTCTGAAAACCATATTACAATGAAGTGTTAGAGACCTAATTATTTTTACAAATATAATTAACAATTTTCCCACCACAACCCATTAAATAATCTTCCTTATCCTCATTTTTCATGATACATCTTACTGTGCAGCAAGTCTCTATGGATATGATAATCTTCTTGTCAATTCTTTATTAATATATTTGTCTCTCTCCTGCTATCTCTTTTTTTTTTTAAGACAGGGTCTGGCTATGCTGCCCAGGCTGGTACTGAATTCCTGGCCTCACAGGATGTTCCAACTATAACCACTTATGTATCTGAGACTGTAACTGTGTGCTACCTTGATTCACTTATTTGTCTGTTCTTGAAAATTATTTGCATTGTCTTTATTATCATGGCTTTGCAGCAAATATTGGCATCTGATAGGGTGAATCTCCTACTCTTTAATTTTCTTCAAAAGTTATTTATTAACTCCTGGTTTTATGAGATGCATTACTGAGTTTTGTGCTACTGTAACAGAATACCTGAGGCTGGGATATTTATAATGAAAAGTAATTTATTGACTCATGGTTTTAGAACCTGATAAACCCAGGATGGAGGATCTATATCTGATGATGGCTTTTCTGGTGTATCCTAACATTTGAAAGGTAGAAGAGCAATACAAAGGGGTTAAATTATCTCTTTTATAATAAACCTACTCATAATAGAAAGTGAAGCAATTTTTATGATAAATCCTTCTGTGATAACAATTTTAATTTATTCATTTGGGCTTCATATCCTATTTATTTCTCATCTAGTCCCTACCTTCCACCACTGTGGCTTTGAGATCTAAGTTTCCAACACCTGATTTTGAGGGAACACATAAAAAGACAGACCATGGGAGAAATATGATGGAGTACATGTATATTACTGAATGCAGTTGCAAATAATAGATTAGATGCAAACACAATACCATGAATGGTTTTGAAAAACAGAGTAAGGGAATAAAATAAGAAACATATGCATAATGTAAAAACTCCTAAAAATTGAAAATATATGCATTTATATAAAATATACTTACTTTTAAGATGATATAAATACTTAAAGAAAACTTAGTAAACACAGAATAGATGTCCTTATTGAAGAGTAATGATACATGTATTTCAAGGATAGGAAAATAAATTAATAAAAAATCAGCAAAATAAACAAGAGAGCAAAACCATAAAATAAAAATATCTTCATAATAGAACAAAACACACTTGAGATAAAGTGTTGTGATAATTTTTAAAAATTAAAATGAGGTACAATTTTGCAAAAATGCCCTCACTTTTCAAATTAGAGTCAAAAGAAAGTCAGTGTTGTCTAGAGCATCTTTCCATGGGGACAGAGAACACAAGAGCTGGAGGTCATTCTGGGTTCTATTCTATACATCATCCCTGTCAACTAACACAGCAAGGATAACAATTTGAGAATTCTTCTTAGGAGAGGCTAGAACCATTTGATTATGTCTTCTATGAGTTACTGATATTTCCTGGAGCCAGCCGGTAGGGAACTCTGCACCAGAAAGCTCCAGTGCTTTTCTCTGGTAGCTCCAAGTATAAACATGCACACATCCCTGCCTGAGTCACTCAGCAGTCCTCCCTGCTTCAAAGAAAAGAGCACTTTGTCAAGGAGTGCAGTGCCCTGACCGGGAGCTAAAAGCATCCTCTTTTCTAATTGTCAATTATCTCTACACTCCAAGATAAACATTTCTCCGTTACCATCAGACTAGCCTGAAAGGTTCATTTAGGACAGGGCTATTTACAGCAGTGAGGAAGCAGAGGAGGTGTGAGGAGGACAGAGAAAGCAGAGACACAGTTTAAAACGGAGATATACTGTTTGCTTTTGATATGTCTTAGCATGCTAGCTAGATACTGGTTCTGCCATCCACTGAGCTTTATGGAGGACAGAAGAAAGCAGGTGATGCAGGAATCTGTTGGGATGGGGAGTTTGGAGAGGCATTTGTTTTTCTTAAAAAGCCCTTTTTATTTATTGGAGGACAGAAATCATTTAATACATATATATATGCTAAAAGGATATATATATTAAAAGATGATTTTCTATTTTTTTGCTGTAAGAGTAAAGCTTAGTTTAGAACTTTACACACATAGCCTTAGTTTCTCTTGTCCATTTATATAATAGATGGGAATACACTAGACTGGACTGCCATTGGTGGCAAGGCCAGGGATAATCTAGTGCCTCCCAACATTTCTCAATCTGTCATATTTCTACTTTTTTGAAAGAAGAGGAAAAGAGGAACTAGTAAGAAAGAACAGAAATGATTCTTCTGGTTAACCGCTCAGTAATCCCTCTCTTTAACTTCTTTCCCTTCCTGAGCCTTCCATTTCCCTCTCTCCTACCCCTTACATCTCCCTTCACCTGGCATACTTAAAATCTAGAAACTCGTGTGCTAATTAGTGTGAATATGATTTTCAACCTGTCCAATGATGCCAGTAAGTGAAAGTCAACCTTTTCAAGTTTAGTAGCAACAATGTAATACAAGTCACAACAGAGAGACATGGTCAGTTAATTTGGGGGCAGGAGAATGGTTGGAATTCATGTATTGAAAGTTCAGTGATGACAGGTTACTTCAAGGGGGACACTAAATTGAGACAATAAAGTCTGAAACTTTCTAGGCCACGCAGAGAGAGGGAACAGAGATTGTTTTTGTGGAATGAATAGTTAAACACGGAAATTCAGGAGAATCAGGAAGCCTGATTTCAATCAGACATGAAAATTATTTCTACTTCTTTCCAGGTCTGATAATAAGAATTTTAAAGTGGCTTTGGAGGAATAGTGAATTCTTGGTTGTCCAGTTATTAGTCTAGATAGATTGTTAGTTTTGGGATGTCTTTTTGTTGTTGTTGCTGGTAAATGGAGAAAGAAAATATGTGGATTGCTGTGTGTGCAGCCACTGGGTGAATTTTGTTCATGGTGCCCCAGCCTTTTTTGGCATGACTCTTTGACCATCAAAGTCCTGCTAGGATTCTACAGGACTCTTTCAAGTCTGTTGTTTTACCCAACATGTGAATGTGAATAAGATGAAAGTTCTTCACTTATTCTATCTTGAAAAGAAGGAAGAAGACATTTATGTGGCTGGAAATGACTCACTCACTGTAGGGTTAAACTGAAATGAAAATGTTATTTTGAGAATTAGAGATGTTGCCCTTAAAACTCCACTAACCAGTAAGATTCTGGGATGTCACAGGGAAACTTACCAGGTCTGATGTTTGATAATGAAGTTATTTCTTTGACAAATGCTTAAAGCATAGTTATTCCCTAGACAAAAATGTTTGCAAATATTTTCTGTATAATAAGTGATGTTTTTAGTAGGTCATCTATTATTAATAAAGTAGCAGTTCAACTTGCCTTATATTAGGCCTGAATATTGGGTAAGCTGTTAGAACTGCCTTAACCTCAGTAGAATAATAATATGCAATGTAAAATTGTTAAATAGATTTGCAGATATATCATGCATAAGATTAAAACAAAGTGGTCCTTAGTGACTATTCTTTAAAGTTTCTTTATTTCATAAACTGAAAGTTCCTTAAAGCACGGACCAAGTCTTACTTTTGTTTTATCCACAATTTATTATGTGACATCTGGCCTGTAGAAGAGGCTCAAGAAATGTTTACAGAATTACTGAAAATATTTACTCTACAATTTTGAAAAATTTGAGCTGTAAGTTTTTCATAGGCTTTGAATTGTTTTTGTGTCCCATTCAGCTATTTGTGTTTTCTGTTTATAAAGAAGTCAAGTATCCAACTTTTTTTCCTTTATGTGCTTTGGTTCTATTCACGTTTTCTCTTAGATTAACAACTGAGCTCTGGATTGCTTTTGATTTTGTCTCTGCTAACCTTTCCTGGTCCTGAAAGTTCACAATGATCACAGTCCGGTATTTGTTTAATAGTGCAATGATCATTGGCCAATGCGATTAAGGTTGATGCAATAACATTGGAAGAATAAAGGACATTGTCACTTTGTCCCTATTTTAAGCACATTTTCCAGGAGCGAGTCAGTATTCGATAGTCCTGTGGTTTCATTGTTTGCTGTAGTTTCATTCATGCCAAAAAAGGCTGGGGCACTGATTTATACCAGTTAGGATAGAAAGTGGTGAGGGAGACAGGACATTTTCCATGTTTCTGCTTTCTCCTCCTTCCAGCACACACACAAACATAACACACACACACACACACACACACACACACACACACACACATTGATGCCCATTTAGCTGGTAGATAAAAAGTGCCAGCCGGGTGAGTCATATTCTAATTGATTGAATAATCATTTTCTTTGTGAGAAACAGAGGAAAAGTGAAACTCTTGCCTGTTAGACCTTGAAAAGATTAACATTTCCAACACATTTGTCTACAGTTCTGAGCTGTACTGACTATCGTACAATCAATCTCCTTGGAAACTTTATAAATAAATTGGCTTCCCCATCTACCTTAAAGGTTTTTAGTCAAAGTTCTCTTGGTAATGATTGAGTTTGACTATTTAAGTCAATGACTAGCTTTTCCCAGTACTTTACTTTTGCAGTGAGGGTCATTAAAACCCAGTAACAAGTGACTTGTCCAAACTTTCTCATGGATAGACAGGAAGAAATAGGAAGACAAAAAATAAACATTTAGTGAATGTGAGGGCTGTGTGGATACTATATTCAGTGCTCTCCACATTTGAGCTCCTTAACTCTTTTCCATGACCTTGGGAGAAAACCACTAGCCTCTCTGTTTACAGTATAAGGGACCTACGTTTAGAGATGTACCTAATGTGCAAAAGTCATTCAGCTAGAAAGATGGAGATGGCCCATGGATCTAAATCTTACTCTAACATCACCTAGTTGGATCTTTTCTCTTTGTTGGAATTTGCAGATACCTGATCTACTGAAACTGAATAGATCATTATATTGACTTATAAACTTTCAATTTCTGACCCTCACTTTTGTTTTGTTTAGAAGCCACGCTAGCTCTGTTTGACCCCATATTTCAGTATTCTAAACCTTCAAATTTTGAGTTGACAGCACTACCTCAAAGAAATTCACTTGGAAATATTTCAGAAAATACTTATTGAGAAAATACTATGTGTGGAATTCAATGCTAGGAAATTAGAGGTGATCATGAAGGACAAATTTTGGATATTTATAGAGGCTATAGTGTTGGGGAAGCTAAGAGAAATAAAATATGCAAATAGAATATGGTCAGAGCTATGCCAGGGGAAACAGAAGTTACTTTGAGAATACATAGCAGGAAAATCTAATTCAGCCTTCACGAAAGTGGCAGCTAGAAGGTGAACAGAAATTAGCTACATGAAAATGGCATGACTATTTCATGGGGGCCAAAGGAAACTATTTCAATGAAACAGCGTTGGTGAATTCAAGGAGTCTAGACATTGTGTGAAGAGTTTGGATTTGATCAGTTCAAAGAAAAAAAACTGAAAGAAACATTATTTCTGGAATGGAAAAGAGAGAAGCAAGATGTTAGAGGCAGGAGGCCTCCAGGTGGAAAAAAGCCATGAAAACCCCATTAAGATCTTTGGATTTTATCCTAAAGCATTGCAAAGCCACTGAAGTTTCCCAATTCTATAAAAATGATCTGTGGATTAAAACCAAGTGTAATACAAACAGTTTTATAGTTTGGAGGATACTTTGATGACTGTGTCAGTGATGGATAGGGGTATGTTAAGCTTGGAAACAGAAGAGCCAGTTAGGAAGCTATTTCGTTTGGAAACCAGAGGTATGTTATTCATCCTTGCAGTTTCAGCGCCTAGAACTCTGCCAGGTATCCAATATGTGTTAAGTAAACATTTCTTGAATTGATGTGGAAATGAATGTTCATTGGGGAAAAACAAAACAAAACAAAACAAAAAAACTCCCAAATTTTTCTTGCTCTTTTTGGCGTCTTATCTCTGTCCAAGCTTTTTCCATTCCCCAGGTATGCCTATGTTTTTCTTTTTATCTATTTGAATAAATACTAACTGTGCTTCCAAGTTCAATTTCAGACTAGCTGCTTTTTAAAGCTTCTTTGAATGTCGCCAATTTCATTGATTTCCTACTTGCCCTCAATTATAATAAAATTCACAGTGTGGTTGAAGTTTTGTGACATTATACAATGCATGCTTTTGTTCTATGTGGATGAATTTTCAACTATTTGATTTACCCTGTTTTCTTCATCAATTTCTTTCTCCCTTTCTTTTTTTCTTCCCTCCTTAAAGATAGGAGAATTGGACAAGCTAACTTCTTTCATATTCAGTGGTACAAGCAAATACTTACTTTTGAAATAAGAAATATATGTAAGTAACCTTAAAATACTCAGTCCACTTAACTTAGTATGTCTATCAGGAACCTATATCAAATAAAAATAAATAATGATAAAAATATGTGATCAGATATGTTTATAATTGCCTTCTGTAGTTTTAAGAAATCTTAGAGGCAACCTAATTATTTAAACATTGGAGGAGATTAAATATATCATGTTATATTCATGTATGAATTGTTTCTAAATGTGACTTTGGAAAAAATTAACAAGGAATAGGAATTGGAAATGTTAAGCTATAAATCAGCAATATTGATTTTTATACTAATTTTCAATGTGATAATAGTTAAACTTACCAGTAAAAATACACTGTTAAAAAACTAACTATTTTCTGTTTTTTCCTTCTGCAAACTACCTGAATTAATGAAGAGGACAATCATTCACCCTTCAGAGCGTGCCTCATGCACCTTCTTGGCAGTCAAGTTAGAAAAAGGAAGCATCTGAGCAGAGCCCTTGGCAGGGCAGAGATGACTCTCTCTTCCTCCCTGCTCTGCAAGCGAGCCTTTGGAAGGTTGCCATCCTTACATTTGCACGCACCAAACCTGCAAACTCACTGTCCAAACTGGGCTTCTCACTTTTGACTTACTTCCTGGGGACGTTCTAAGAGAGGAAACATTTATAGGCTCTGCCCATGGCTCTGGATGGCGCAGCACACTGGGAGTATCTCTTATCAGGATTTTAGAGCTCACATCTTCCAAACAGTGTAATCTTTTCCATCCTAACGTTTGCTTATGCTCTAAAAGCAATTCTAGCAGGTCAGATGTACATTGTCTCTTCCTCTCTGGAGAATTGTATTTGTCCTGGTTCTTGTCTTGTTTAACTGCATTGGGGCATTTCCTTAAAGGGTTATCCAGGGATGGCTTGGGCTATATTGGTGAGAAATGAATGCTCAGAGAGTTGTTATTACATTTCATAAATGTCTAGGATGAAAGGCCCTGAGCTGCAAAGTATATTATCGTTACCCTTTGTGTGAGCTAAGAACTCTCTAATGAAAAACAGCAGCAGCAACAGTCAGACACAGGAACCTCTGTCAGGAACCTAGTCCTTCACCTCCACAGAAGATGATGAGCCACCCCAACAAGCTTCACTCAAGATGCAGAAATGTTTGCTGTTGTATTTCACATCTGCAACATCCATTAGATCATAGACCCTTCAGATCCTTTATTCTGGGCCCCTATCATGAAATCAAACAGCATATGAGATCTGTCCTGTGGGTTTTACACCTATGTATAGGTTAGTTTCTTTAAATCTCACAACAGCCCTCTGAGGCAAACACAGTCATAATCATCACCTTATTTTGGAGGTAAAGAAGAACTGCATGCTAAGTGGTGACTGCCAAGGTCACATAGGTAGTAATTAAAGAAGGATTCAGGTTTGGCAGCCGTGCCCAGACATCTCTAGTAAGCAGCATACTACACTAAATTAACACATGCAAAATGCTTAAACAAATACCTGGTATAATTATAAAAATCAGTATTAGTCATTATGTTCTCCTTTTATGAGTTCTGGGCAGTTTCTAATTTTATGCTATGACTGATGTGCTCAGAAAAGTGAGTTTGTACCCAAAAGGGAACTGAAAACAACATCATTAGTCCATAAATGGCTGCTTGTTAAGCATCCTTGAGCTGGACACTTGGGAACTACATGGCAGAATGAAGTTGAAGTTGACAAAATCTTGGACTTTGCAGAGGAGAGAAGTATGAGGTATATCAAAGTGAGGTCACTATTTCAACTTCATCTTTTTGTGGACCTTCAAAAGATCTTTGCTTTGTTCTTGAGTCAGAATTTTATAGGTAGGGAAGTATGAAGGGACAGTGGTGAATGAAAAATATCTACCAGTAGCCTTGGAGATGCTTTGTCTTCTCCTTTACCCACACATAAGTAATCTCGAGTCCGTAAATGTTTTCATCTTTATGAGATTACTTTTGTTTCACAAAGTCTTTGAACTTAATTTGAAGAAATTCCACTTGGAACAAATACTTTGGGCCTGGGAGAGAAGCACACAGTAAAATATTCCTTCTGCTCTGATCTATACTAAGGCGTATTCATGTTGAAGACTTTATGATTTATATAAAACACAGGTGTCCATGTTTATAAAAATCACTGTGGAGCAGGCTATTGATACAAATGCTGTAAGCATGAGTAATTTTAAACATTCTTGGAATCCTCTGGGGTGGCTTGATATAGCACTTGATATAGCACAGAAACCAATGCACTGGAAAGCAGAAGCAGTGAATTCAGAGTACATAATAAAGTTTTTTCTTTAATAATATTGAAAATGATTTAGTCCATTTTTGAATGAAATATACCATTTAGGAAACATCACAATGACTCAGTAAAATCTTACAATGTCAGTGACTTAGAGTAAAAAGTATTTGGGTGTCATTCATTCTATCTTTGGTGGTTCCCCAGAGTTTCATACTCAATCTAGGACCAAGGGTGATGGTGGAACCACTCACTGAAGTCTTGCCAGTCCCAGCATGAGAGAGAAAGCAGATTTTCAAAGGGTCTAAAACTGGCAACTGATGCTTTGCTCTGCAAGTGACCCATGTCACTTATACTCAAAAGTCATTGCCCTGAATTGTAGGCATGATCCTAAGAAATACAATTCTTTCTTATACTGAAAGGATAGAGAAGCAGAACTAGCCTGGGAATCAGAGAACTACTGACAATCACAGATAGGTAATATTTCAGTACAATGTGTTGATAGGAAAAGATGGGCGCACCTAAGATTTATGAAGAGAGTCAATGAGAAAACTCAACTTGAAGAGAAATAAAATGTGCTGTAATTGCAAATATGTATGGGGCTAGATTGAGAAAGTCTTAAATATCAGGCTTAGGATTTTATCTTTTGTGCCCAAGCTGGGGATTTTCAAAATTGTTTTTGTCAGTGTAGAAAATTTTAAAGTAAACTATTATAGATGACAATATGCAAGTAAGGGAAAAAGAATCACATCTTGCGGAAGTGGGTGTGAGAGCCCAGAGAGCTTCGCTGGCCTCCCGGTGCCTTCTCAGGGTTTCCCATGGGTTCCTGTAATACAGTCTAAAAAACTCATTTCTCAGACCTTAACACACTTTCTAGTGCATTTCAACACTGGAGAAATAAGAAATCCTCAGTCAAAGGTATAGATAGCAACTAGAGATTAATTAAAAAGATAGATTAAAGTGAAAGAGAAATTCAGGACAAAAAGTTCAATAAAAATTGCAAAATAATAAGACACTTAAATCTGTTTGTTGACAAAGATAGATGTGTCTCAAAGAATTATTTGACAAACTGGTGATTGATTGGACTTCAGGGTTCACAGAAAGGGTGGAATCAAATAAAACAACATGTTTGAGGCTTGTAAACTTGGGGGATGATGGAAATATGAATGTTAATATGAAGACCAACAGGAAGAGCTTTATGGATGTGTCCTCTAGTATTCATTTAGTAGCTACTTTATGATATGATATGAAATGCTTGGAGAAAATACAAATTTAATGTGAAATATGCTAGATTTAGGTGGTGGCAGGTTACTTTCAGATATTTATCCTGAAATGCCTGATGCACGGTTTTAAGCACAATATTGGCATTAAAGAGAATTCAGGGTTGAAGCTGTGCCTTGGGACACATTAACAAACAAATGAAATGCTGTTAATTGGATGGATAATTGTAAACAAAGGCTCATATACATCTGAATCAGAAAGAGGCTTGAAGCACAGAGTAATTCTCATCTTCAGTGTCACTAAAGCAGATGCTAATCCTTAGGAAGTTTATTATTAATAATAGCAACAATGAAGACCTCTCTGTCATGGTTTATAAAAGTAGCCCTCAAGCCTCTTGCAATTATGCACGTGATGAAGTCTATTGTTTGTGATTGGTTCATTGTCTAGTGCTTTGATTGGTGGCATGAGTGTTTCACCTACCCAGGGGTGGAACCAGGATATTATGTGCTGGAGAAGAAGGTGTGTCTTTCTCTCTTCTTGGTTCACAATTGCTGTTTACAGTAGTGCTGCCATGCCACCCTGCTGTCTGGAGCCAACTGAATATGGACTGAAACCTTCAACGTGTGAGAAATAAACTTTTCCTCCCCTATCTTTGGGCATCAGGTATTTCATCTCAACGACAAGAAAAATGTAACCAAGACACTCTAGAGCTTAAAACCTCACAAACTATTGTATAATGAAGAACTTAATTTTCCCTCTGGTGGCTAGGATGGCAAATTCATCTTAAGGACCTTGCATAAATACTCAAATGACTTCCTGCATAAGGTATAAAGCCGTTGCCGACACTGGAGCAATGGGTTTTAGTTTGAAGTAAAAATGGTTAATCCTCATAGTTAATATAGCCCTAAGACTCCAGGCAGAAATAAGTTAGCAGGAAACTGCTGAGGAAGAAGCCATTCATACCTTCCCAGGGAATAAGTGACCAAAGATTCTCAGAGTTGAGCTTTCCCTTCCTCAGAAGTGGGATAGTTTTCTTCTGCCTACCCAGCTTCTCTGATGGGCCTGGGGCCTAAGCTTCTTGGTATCTGGGACTTCTGATCTTACAAAGATGACCACGGAAAGGCAGAAGTCCAACTTCCCCAGGTTTCCCTGCCACTGAAAATTTCTTACTTTTTTTTTTTTTTTTTTTTTTGTCTTTTTACTGGTATCAGGGATGGAACTCATGACCACAGGCTTGCAAGGCAGGTGCTTATGCCGCTGAGCTAAATCCCCAGCCCCTAATTTCTTTTCTTTTTTTTTTTTTTGAGGAGCTAATAAACAATAACTTTTATTGAAAAATAAAATATACAAATCAGTAGAACAAGCATACACTGGAAAATGTCAATGGGTCTTTCATGTTGTTCTTCTGCAACAGTACAAACACCTTAGCTCCTTTGAGTATGAAAATCTTTTTTTTTTATTTTATTTAAGAGGAAAAAGAGAAAAACACAAAACAAAACAAAGCAGTGTAAGGGTACACGTAATACAGAACTACAAAAAAAAACATAACAGTAAGAAATCACCTGTTAATAGATTACATATTATCATCTTGAAAATAGTTGCTCAAATCACAGTATCAAAGAATACAAGGTGGACATTCAAACAGGGAGACTGCAAACAGCTGTGTTCAATGATCCAAAAACATTGATATAGTCAGCTATTTAACACCCCTAAACACACTTGCTGTTATATCCGTTAGAGCTCTTTTTTTTTCCCCTCTCTTTTTTACAACAAAATTTACACATTTTGGATTTTATTACTCCTTAGTGCTTAATACTTTTTTTGGGGGGGAGAGAATACAGTCAAATATGGCAAAACAAAGCTGTCAGTCAAAACCAAGGATAGACATAGCACATGGTGTAGAACAGAGTACAAGGTTATCAACAATGGTTATCAACGTTGTCTTTTGTTTCCTTAAAAAGAATTGTCTATCTCATTAGATATTATAAAGTTGGACAAAACAGTAGAGAACAAGACCAATAAAACTTAGGCATTGTAAACATTACAGGACTTCCAAAGAAGACAATAGTCAAACCAGAGTGGGCATCTTAGTGAATCTTATTGCCTTCAAAGTAGTTGCCTATATCCTCAAACTTGATACTATCATACAGAATGGAACAGAGTCTAATCAGTCAAAACAAGATCGTGGGAGTATTACAGGACTTCAAAACAAGTTAATAGGAAATCAAAAAGAGTTACTATTTATATATCCTAAATTTTTAAAATTTTTTCCCTTAATTAAGACAAACATAAGAAATGACAAAATAATTTTTTTAAAAGAATAAGGGGGAGACTGAGATAAAACAGGACATAACAATATAACAATAGAGGTCAAAGCATGACTGTTTCAGCAACCTAGTACTTCACCACCATATAACCCGACTTAATAGTAGTTACCATAGTGTCTGTCTTTTTCCTTGAAATATTTGGATAAAACTTCATATACTCTAGCTTACTCTTTAACCTAAGAACTTCTGCCACCCTGTGAAAGATCAGGGACTGCCTAATCCACTGAGATATATCCTGGGAGAATAATCCGGAGTATACAAAGCTATCTCGTTGTGGTTCTTCATTTGTCAGTGATGACTGATGGGTAGAGATTAAAAGATCTCACTAAACTGTAAAGATGGCACCAATAAATAAATTTCAACTGTGTCATTCAGCCCAGCATTGAGCAGCCAGCGACTGACTACAAGAAATACAAAGCAGCTTCATCTAGAACATGCACATGTGATCTTAGGGGTCAGATGACGAAACAGGTGTCAGATCACAGGGTCAGGCACAATCTATGAAAGCTATTTTACTTCATGGAGTGGTTAACACAATTCGGGAACTTGTCCCTTTAGTGAGGAACAAGCTATGAGAACAGACCCATTCAGAAATCGGGGATATACACGTGTAGTGTTAATATATATGAGCATGGTACTAATGAAATAATATTGGTTTGAAGTTAAAAGACTCACAGTTCTGTCTCTAAGACTACTTAGCTCTTTTGTCTTGATTAAATTGTCCTTTTTAAAAAAATCCTGGCTTATTCACGTACAATAAAATATTTGAGTTAAAGGTAATTAGTCAATTTTCATAATATCCTGATTGCTTCAGATTAGTATAATATAAAATCCAAGTGAATTTATAATACAAAGTACCTAAATCTGTATGAAGAGCACTACAGTTTTTAGTCTCTTTTCATCTTAAAGCAACATTCTGAAGACTTGTGTTAATATCTTATAAAAATAGGGAAACAGGAAACAGAGAGAGCAAGTGGTTAGTCATGTGGCTAACGTGTGATAAAGTCAAGATTTAAGCCTAGTTTTATGCTTTTATTCTCCAATACAGATTTCCCAAGCATCTTTCTCCCTGTGACATAATCCCTGGTTCTTGTCCAGGTCACAGATTGGCTGGGGAATAAGAGTGATTTATTTTATTTTATTTTTTTTTTTTATTTTTTATTTTTTATTTTATTTTATTTTTTTTTTTTGAGGAGTAAGAGAGTGTTCTTGGTGGTGGCAGGTTTTTATCTTGCGCTTTTGGCCTGTTTTTAAATCACCAACACACAGAAATACTGTTGACAAATTATTATGTCTTTAAAACATTTTTTCCAGCTAACTTTTTAGCCACAAAAAGGCCATCATCTTATCAGCTCTCAAATTGCTCTGTCTTTATTCTTTACCTATAGAGAAGCTCACGGGAGGCAGTTGCTGCCTGTTCTTCTGAAGTGCTCCCAGATCAAAAGAAAGTGAAGCTGTCCAAGGACCAAATCTCCTCTCAAGGGTTGTCTTTAGCTTTCCCAGTCAGCGTGACTGACCCCATACTCTCACGGATATCTGTCTCCTGCCTACAATCTGGAGATAAGAGGAAGCTTTGTGTTTGAGTAAATGGTGTGCTAATCTGTTACTGTTTGTCTTATAAATTATTTTTCTTAATGAAAGAACAACATTATTTTATTTCTTGAGCTGACGTCCAGACCCACTGTAGCAAAGAATGCTTTATAAAATCAAAAGCTGGAAATTAGAACACCTGGCTCCCCTTCAAAGTCTACCTAGGATGTCTGTCGCATTTCATAAGCCAAAAGACTCCCAGCATGAAGGAATCTGGGACTGGAAAGAGTTTTAAAGGTTTTCTACTCTAGCATTCTATCTATTGATTGAATATCCTCTACTTCAGAGATGCTCTTTTTCTGTCTGGCTATTCATGGAACGTAAGCTACCCTTGCCTTTCCTTAGAGAGCTGCTGGGCTTTAGGTTGGCCAGCTGCTGGGTATGAGTGTCGGTGCTCATGGGTATCTCATTTGGAGGGAAATAAATGTGAGTCAGCTGTGAAAATTACAGATCAGATTTTTGGCATTCAGGTCACTTTGTATTTTTAGATCCAGAGGAGAATAAAATAAATATTTTTTGAGTCTAGTTAGGATTATTAATGTTATATTCAGGATAAAAAGGAATCCTAGTGATAGGTTGACATATTCCAGGTTATAAATTTTTCCAAACCTTGCTACTGTTCTCCAAGTTGATATTGCACGCTATTTTTATTTATACTCTCCCTCTATAGGATCTAGCTTTGCCAACCGAAAGCTGTGGCAGAGTAGGGACATTTTTCTTCTTTGCCATATTGTCCTCTCTGTGGCATGATGGCTGGTTCTGTATAGGAGTACACTTCGTGCTTGTAGAATGAATGGACAGTCAGAAAATATATGTTCTGATTGTAAAAGTGATGAAAACAGTCACACTTTTTTTCTCTACTGTCCCGTGGGAATTTAAGTGCTAGGTACTATCTAAAGTACTTTAAGAGTATTGTGCAACAATTACTTTCTCTTAAGGTAATAATGGTTATGATCATAGGTCGAGAGTGGTGAAGCTATTTATATATATATATATATATATATATATATATATATATATGACATTTTTCTTTTAAGACAAAAGATGGAGTTATTTTCTGTAGACTGATAACCTTGGTATTCAGGTAGAATTGCAGCATTGGCATTTTTTCTCATAAATAGTGGGTTTTGGGTTGCAGTTTGTGACTTGTTTTCTAAAAGGTTTGGCATCACTTTAGGTCTATCAGAATTGTGGAATGAAGGTGAAGGCTGAGACAACACAGGAAAGTAAGTAATCTCCATCCTACAACTTATTTTTAGCTGTAAAGATATGGCAGACCTTCATTGATTGTAATAGAAACTGGTATACACACTACACTGTAATCTGTAGTTTATAGAAAGACAGAGGAAATACTGTGTGTTGTGGCTTAGATCTAGTATATTCCCTGAAAGATTCATATGTATAGAAAGGAGGCTTTTCCTAAGCGATGGGATCCTGGGTGTGCTACACTCACCAGTGGATTAATCCATAGATGAGGTCAGAGCTTAATACACTCTTAGCAGGTAGGGTCTGGTGGGAGGCAGGTCACTGGCTGAGGGATCTAGAAATGTCCACCTCCCTCCAGGAGTCCTCCTTCTGCTACTTCTTCTTGGCTGCATGATGTAAGCAGCTGTGCCTCCACTGTGCCTTCTCATTGTGCTGTTTCTGCCTTGGAGACCTGCAACCTGGGAAGTGTACCAGTGAGCCAGAGTAAACATTTCCTCCTTTAAATTGTAGGCGGCAGATGTTTTGT